GCCTTCCTGCTCCTATGATGCTGCTTGGCCTGCTGTTTTCATCCAGCTCTACACCTTGTTATCTCAGATTCTCCAGCATCTGCAGTTCCTACTAAGTCTGGCAATAGATGTGGAGAGGAAAACCGTGATCCCTCTCCAAAACCACAATCTCTGTTTTTGTTTCACTTTTCCAGCATTTGCAGTTCTTTGTTTTATCCCAGGAACATTATCTGGGTCTCTGGATTAACAGTCTAGCAATCATACCACGACTCAGCGTGTCCTCCACCACCCAAAACACACGTGGAAATCACTTGTCAGCGTGTACCGCTGTGTCTGAAGGGCTGTTGTGGGGCAGCTCGTAGCGCCCGTCCCTGTGAATTGGGAGGTCCAGGTTCAAGTCTCACATGCTCCAGATATGAGTCATAACATCCCTGAACAGGTTGTTTAGCAAATATCTACATTAGGGCTCCTGGGGCAGCGTGGGAATGTCCCTGCCTCTGGTCCCATCTGCGTTATGACAATTCTGCACAGGTTGATCAGGAAACTGTCTGGAGCAGGATCCGAGCCTGGTGCCTGGAACGGGGTGTCTTGTGGCATAGTGGTAGTGCCGCACCCTCTGGGCTGGGAGGCAAAGGTTCAAGTCCCACCTGTTCGAGAAGTTGTGTGTAGTGACATCACTGAACAGGTTGACTAGGAAGGTAGCGGTGACAGCGAGTCCCCTGGAGCGGTGTGTTGCTGCTTGCAGCCCCTGCGCCGCGGCAGCAGGGGGTGGTGTTGAGCCGCCCCGGCTGGCTCAATGCTGGAGGCTGGGGCTCTGACGCTGCGGCTCCTGCCGGGCGGAGCTCCTGCCAGTGATAAAGAGCGAGGGTTCGGTGCTGGGCACCTCTCAGTCACTCTCCGCCTCCGTCACACCTACACTTTCTGCAATTTATTTGATTTTGTGGCGGGGGGGGGCGGAGAGTGAGTTTTTTTTTAAATTTTGTGTGTTTTCTATCCTTTTTGTTGTTTGGGGGGGGGGGGGGTTGGGGGTTGGGGGGGGGGGGGGGTGCGATTGCAATAAAATGGCCGATGCAGAGGGAGACGGTGGAGAGACCGTGAATCGGTTCGCTCGCCAGGGAGCCCTGCGGCAGAAGAATGTGTGTGAGGTGAAGGATCACAAGTTCACCGCCCGCTTCTTCAAACAGCCGACCTTCTGCAGCCACTGCACCGATTTCATTTGGTGAGTGAGTGAGTGAGTGAGTGAGTGAAGAAGAGAGAGAGAGAGAGGGGGATTTACCCCCTCCCCTCCACACTGCCTTGCACAAACTCCAGTCCCATCCCCACCCTGCCCCAAAACACCAGGACAATCAAAACTTATCCCCAAACTCTCCCTGTGCAAACTTTGTCTCTCTCTCTCTCCCGCCCTCCTGATCAGATTGCTGAACTGTTTTTGCTGTCTCTCACTCTCATCCCGTCCCACTTCGAGTTTTGCGTTGTGTTGTTTCCGAATTCCTTTTTTTCCCCCCTCCTCCCAAATTGTTCTTTGGTTTCCTGATCCTCCTATTTTGTTTCATAATTCTTGTGACGTCTCGTTTGTGTTTCCTGATGCTCCTCCTGTTTTCTTCATCCCAGTGTGGGTTTTATTATTGCCCTTGTATTTTCTTTTACCCCTCTCTCTCTAACGCTCCTGTTCTCTGTTTTATTGCAGGGGTTTCGGGAAACAAGGATTCCAGTGTCAAGGTATTGGAAAGTGAATGTGTCTGTGGTTGGTGCGGAGCGGGAGCTGTTTGATTTGCTCCGAGTCTGGGTTCCTGTGCCTGAAAGATTTTTTTAAAAAAGTTGTCTGTGATTGATAACCAGAGAGAAAGAGCGAGAAAAAAAATACGAGAATCGGAATGCTATCACTTGAAATGAGCAAGTGCGAGTAATGATCCCTTAGGCTGGGACCTGGCCTGCAATGTGTCCAGTGAGGAGTTTGTCACTTAGTTTCAGTTTGAAAATGATGCCGAAATTCTCTTTCCCGCTCTGGCGACGTGGCGAGAATGAGGAAGTCCCAACTTCATGGCTTTACTGTAGAAAGCTCTTTCCCCGCTGTGGCTGCTCATTGTTAGTTGGGTTTATGTGACAGCTGGGTCCACTGCCAGTCACTGGTTCAACATTTGCATTTGCTTCTTATCCTGAGAGGTTTTTGGAGTGAGTGTGGACTGTCAGTTTACCCACAGCCTCACCGATACACACGTTGCTCTATAGTTCTCCTGACTTCACTATGCAACTGAAAAAGGTTTACTTTCACTGGGTTACTCTTTAGAAAGTGAAGATGCGTCAGGGCTGTTTGTACTGTATTAGCTCCTCTACACCCATCTCTACTCGGAAACAGGCAGTGTTAGAGAGTGCAGTATCTCCAACCCAGTGTGGAGGCTCTACATCTATTTATTAGGCCCTTTCTAGAAACAATCAAGTTCCCAGCTCACGTTGCGCTCTGACTGCAGAAGTCAATGTGCACTCCCCATCAGGCATCCACGTTCCAGCCTCTGTTTTTGTTAATCTTGCATTGAGAATAGGAATTAGGATGTCATGTTGTGGCTGTACAGCACATTGGTTAGGCCACTTTTGGAATACTGCATGCCTTTCTGGTTTTCATGCTATAGGAAAGATGTTGTGAAACCTGAAAGGGTTCAGAAAAGATTTACAAGGATGTTGCCAGGATCGGAGGGTTTGAGCTATAGGGAGAAGCTGAGTCGGCTGGGGGTCTTGGCCCTGTAGTGTTGGAGGCTGAGGGGTGGCCTTATAGAGATTTATAAAATCATAAGGGGCATGGATAGGGTGAATAGCCAGAGTCTTTTCTTCAGGGTAGCGGAGTCCAAAATTATAGGGCAAAGGTTTAACGTGAGAGGAGACAAATTTACAAGGGACCCAAGGGACAACTTTTTCACGCAGAGGATGATATGTGTATGGAATGAGCTGCCAGAGGAAGTGGCGGAGGCTGGTACAATTGCAACATTTAAAAGGCAACCGGATGAGTACGTGCATAGGACAGGTTTAGAGGAATATGGGCCAAATGGTGGCAAATGGGACTAGATTAATTTAGGATATCTGGTTGGCATGGACAAGTTGGACTGAAAAGTCTGTTTCCGTGCCGTACATCTCTATGACTCTAATCTGAGGACAAGAAATTGAAATGCCCTGAGATCACCTTCGGTTCACCGATAGCAATGTGAGAGTTGCTCCATTGCCTTTCTGCGTGACTGGTGTTCTGAACTTGCATTTGATTGCTAGTGTCTAACAGCTGTCTCTTCCTGCTTTTCCTTTTGTTTCTTAAAAAAAGAAAATAAAATGTCTCAGAACCTTACCACTTTTTTTGCAGCCACGTGGGGTGTTTTGCTCAGATGGATACTCCCTCCATATTAGCAATAACCACTGTTGCTCAGATGGATACCTCTGTATCCAGTTATTGCCAGGACCTTATTGTCCTGACTGCTACATCCACATACTGCAGACCCTCTGTGTAGATAGAGAATCTCAAAACTTGTTCTCAAATTCAATCTTAGCCACACTTCTGCCTCTACGTCTAAGGAATGCATTTCCAGGCATAAACACGGCTTGTTTTGTTGCTGTTGATCATATCTGAAACTCATGTTCTTGAAGGACCTCGGCCCACTCCTTGACTGTTGTAGTACACCAACCTTCATTTATTTGTGTGTGGTTGTACACTTGTAATTTCTGTTTGAGGTTGCAAGTCACATTCATCTGCTGAACTGGTTGCTTCATTGTTGGGAGGTCCTGGCAGCTCTGTGCCAGTGATGTACTCTGTGTCTCAATAATTATTATGAAAATGGAAGTTTCTGTTTGAGTAGAAGTTCATTTTTCCAAGGAATTTTACTCACTGGGGGTGTAACAGTGGTTACTGCTAATATGGAGGAAGTTTCCAGGCAGGCGTGTTAAATTACTTTGTTTCCCTTTTTTTAAACCTGATGTTATGAAAATTGATTATTTTTCATGCCCTCTGAGCTTCTCCAAGTTGCGAGTCAGCTGTGTGCTAATGGCCCACAGTTTACCTACAGTGCTCAGTGAAGCAGATGCTGATCCTCAGTGTTCACAGAGCAGCTTTTATCTCTTGCTGTTGATAAAACAGCCACCTCGAGTGGCCAGTCTGTCCCAGGCAAGAGTGCAGTGTGAGATGTGTATCCTTTTAGTTTAAAGTGTTGACAGTTCAGTAACACCCTGAAGCTGCACACTGAGTGCTCTGGGCAGAATCTCCAAGTATGGGTTCATTTTCTTAAATAAAAAAGGACTAGATTTAAAACTGGAATTTCTAGAAACACTTAGTGGTATTATCACTAGACTATTGATCCAGAGACCCAGGTTTGAATCTTGCCATGTCAGATGGTGGAATTTGAGTTTAATACAAATCCGGAATTAGTTTCTAATGATGAACATGAAACAACGTCAATTATTGGAAAAACACATGTTCGTGAATGTTCTTTTAGGGAATGAAGCTACCATCCTTAGCTGGTCTGGCCTACATGTGATTCCAGACTCTCATCAATGTGGTTGAGTTTGAACTGCCATCTGGGCAATATATTGGTGATGCCCTCATCGTGTGAATGAATCAAAAAGACAGGGATTTCTGGAATGTGAGATAACAAGGTGTAGAGCTGGATGAACACAGCAGGCCAAGCAGCATCAGAGGAGCAGGAAGGCTGTCGTTTCGGGCCTAGACCCTTCTTCAGAAAATTTTCTGATGCTGCTTGGCCTGCTGTGTTCATCCAGCTGTACACCTTGTTATCTCAGATTCTCCAGCATCTGCAGTTCCTACTATCTCTGATTTCTGGAATGTGTTGTTCTAAGAGCTATGACCATGAGTCTTGAATATGTTCAAAACGGTGCTCCCTAGATTTTGGGGCAGTTTGAGGAGATATGACACGTGGCAGAAGAGTGAAGTTGAAGGGGAAGTTTGGCCATCAGTTGAATGAATGATGAACCTGATTTGAGGGACTGTCTCCTATTTTATGGGGAAAACATCAGAGTGACTGTTGTCCAGTTGAATGAACCCGTCTTCCTGAACTGCTTCCTGACCAGTGTGCTGGCTGTTTGCTGCAGTCCTTGCTCTCCTTTATGCTGCTGTATAAAGATGGGCAAGAATGGGACGATGGTGGCCTAGTGGGGGAATGTCACCAGTTTAGTAACTAAGGCTTGTAGCTGCCAGATTGTGCAGAGATTCTGCTTGTGGTGCACCCTCCCTTCTGTTGCAGTGAGGGGTTGGTGGAATCACAGCCATTCTCATTTTTATTTGTTGCTTGGAACTTGGAGGAGGGGTGAATACTGAGTTACCTGGTCAGTTATTTAGTATAAAGCCCAACATGCAGGTCCTCCTCTGTACCCCTTTTGAGTTACAAGCTCTGAGTCACGCAGTAGAAACTCTTACTAGTGTGTAATACGCATAGACAGAGATTCCAGGAAGTCTCAGTCCTCTTTACGACAAATGAGAACTTTTTTAAGTGCAGTTGTAGTGTGACAGCTAATTAGTACACAGCAATCCACCACCAACAGTAATCTCTGAATATTGAATCAGGGATAATTGTTGGCCAGGTCAAATCTCCCCTCCTCTTTTGAAATATGGAATTTTTTTACACTGACCTGAGAGAACAGATGAAATTACTGTTTCATATCACATCCAAAAAAAGCAGTGCTGCTGACACTGCAGCTATCCTTCAGTGCTGCACACACGCAGTGTTGACCCTGATTGAGTGCACCAATCTCCGAGGGACACTTGAAACACACGACTGTCTTATCTCTGAGGTGAGAAGGCTACCAATTGAGCAATGCCTGACACTGCTGTGGTTACTCAAACATTCAAAACAAAGAGCAGGCATGTCTCCTGTGAGCTTGCTGCACACCCGCAAAAAACTCCAAACAACACACTCTCCCCTTGGGGAGACAGCTGTGGAGAAAAATGCTGCAGTCAGCACATTCGGGGCGGGGGGGCTTTCCAGGCACTGTTTAAATCATCATTGTTTATTTAAATGGGTGGAGACTCCCTGAGGATGATATTCTGGTGCCATCAGACATTTAAAACAGAAGTCTGAAAGACCACAGTAACCACGACATCCTTTGACCCTAGTTAATTCTGCTGAAGATGAAATAAAGCAAAGAACTGCAGATGCTGGAGATCTAAACAAACCAAAACAGAAATTGTTGGATAAACTCAGCAGGTCTGGCAGTGTCTGTGGAGCAAAAGCAGAGTTAACATTTCAAGTTGGTAATTCCTCGTCAGAACTGTCAGTAACTGGGAAAAGGTGGTATTTATGATAAACCCGAAGTTGAGAACGGGCATAGGTGGAGACAGAGCCCAGAGACCAGAGACCCTGAGAGATACGAAAGGAGACAGTAAACAAGCAGATTATGGCTGGCAGGCTAGGACGGAAGAAAAGCTGAATAAGTGATAATAAGAGTTAGAAAATGGGTTAGCTGTGTAGAATGCAATATGCCTAGGGAATGGGTGACTGTGCTAAAAGCAGCCCGTGTGATAACAGGACCAGGTGTGCAGTGGGTTAAAAACCATGGAACAATGGAATTAGGTTTTTAAGTTAATGAACTCTATTGAGTCCTGGAGGCTGCAGAGTCCCCAAGTGGAAAATAAGGTGGTGTTCTTCGAGCTTGCACTGAGGCTTGCTGGATAATTGCAGCAAAGCCTGTGACAGGAATGTTGGCCTGGGAACATAGTGGTGTGTTAAAGTGGC